CGACGATGGTGCCGTGGAGGCCGTCGATCTCGAGCATGAGTGGGCCGGGGCGCGGGGTGGAGGCGAGCTCGGCCGAGATGCGGTCGACGGCGCGACGGACGCCTGCGACGGCCGGGAGACCCAGCTCGCGGGCGACGACGGCGCCGTGACTCAGGGCCGAGCCGACTTCAGTGACGAGGCCGGCGAGCTTGGGGAAGACGACGGCCCAGGCGGGGCTGGTGGCGCGGGTGACGAGGATGTCGCCGGCACGGAGGCCAGCGATGGCGGAGGCGAGGTCGTGGGCGACAAAGGCACGGCCGATGGCGCGGCCGGCAGACACGCCGCGGCCGGAGATCATGTCCGAGCCGATGGCGGCGCGGGGCGGCGGAGTGGCAGCGGCGCGGGTGGCGCCGACGATGGAGGGCGGCGGTGTGAAGCGGGCAAACATGGCCTTGATGGTGGCGTGAAGAGAGGCGGTGGCGCGGGCCTCGGCGAGGGATCGGCGGCAGGTCGGCGCGTCGAGGAGTGGGAAGAGGGTGAAGATGTCGAGGTGGTGGAGGTTGAGCTCGAGGCGGGCGCCCAGAGCGTCGAGCATGTGGCGGAGCGCGTAGTTGAGCCGGCAGTATGTGATGTGGACCTCCTCCTTGGCGTGGAGGTAGGCGCGGAGGAGGGCGAGCGGCGGGGCGGGCGGTGGCGAGGATGCACAAGCAGACGACGAGGCGGGAGGAGGAGGCGGCGGGGCGGCGCAAGCGGCGATGAAGAGCGAGAGCGGCGTGGTGATGTCGTCGGCCCAGCGGTCGGTGGCGGCAATGTCCTCGTCGTGCTCGGAGAGCCAGAAGAACTCGCCGATCCAGGCGGCAAGCGCGTCGCGGGTCGGCACGTCGACGATGGCAAGGAGGGCGGCGGGCGAGGCGGCGGCGGCGTAGGCGGCACGGGCGGACGGATCAAGGGATGCGACGAGGGTGGCGAGGGAACGGGTGACGGCGCCTGCGCCGGCGTGGACGCCACGGTCAAAGTCGTGCCCAGCAAGAGAGCTGTCGAGCGAGCGATGGAGGTCGCGGGCGATGGAGCCGGTGGTGAACGAGTGGTAGGCGAGCTCGATGCGTTCAGCGAGAAGGGCGCGGAGGAGCGTGGCGAGGGCAGGGACGGTGAGGGCATCAAGGCGGGGAAGGAGCGGCCAGAGGCGCGGGAGGATCTCTGTGTTGATGTGTGCGGTGAGGGCGGTGGCGCGGGCGGCGAGGAGGCCCGAGTCACGGGCGCGGACAAAGGCCGGCGATGCGCGGCGCTCGTCGTCAAACACCATGATGTGCATGCGGTTGATGTAGAGGACGCCAAAGACCGGGGTGGCAAAGGCGGCGATGGGCGGGAGGTCGGTGACGGCCGACTGGACGGTGGCGGCGTAGAAGCCGGCGGCTGAGGTGAGCGACATGGAGAGCCACGACTTGCGGGTAAAGCCCGAGGCCCACGAGGTGCCGGCCAGGCGCGGCAGGTCGATGTTGAGGGCGGTGATGGGGCGGGCCTGGAGGACGACAAGCTCGCCGTGGTGAGTGAGCGCCCACTCGATGTCCTGCGGGAGGCCGGCGTGCGAGGCGATGGTGAGGCCGAGCTGGGCAAGAGCTCCGAGAACGGCGATGTCGGCATCGGCGGCGGTGCCGAGCGGAGGCGACGCGAGCTCGGCCGGCGGTAGCGGGACGGTGACGGTGGCGCCACCGTCGGGCGCTGGCGGAGCATGAGGCCCGGCCCACACCACCTTGGTCGCCTGCGACCAGGTGGGCGGAGTGGGGATGAGCTCGGCGGTGGGCCAGGCAAAGGCGTACGAGGCGGCCGAAGCGGATCCGGAGACGAGCGACTCGCCGAGGCCCCAGACGGCCTCGATGACCATGACGCGCTCGTCGCCGGTCATCGGGTGTGTGGTGAAGAGAACGCCCGCGGCGCGCGGCGAGATGAGTGCCTGGACGACGACGGCCATGGCCTCGCTGTCGTTCTCGTCGTCGCTGCTGGGGAGAGGGAGCGAGGCCCAGACGGATGCGATGGCGGCGGCAATGGCGGCAGGCTCGCGGCGGACGCCGAGGACCGAGGCAGCAACGCCGGCGAGCGACGACGTCGACCCGTCCTCGTTTGTGGCCGAGGAGCGGAAGGCGAGGACGGTGGAGGCGTCGGCGAGAGAGGCATCGGCCCAGGAGAGGACGGCAGCGATGAGGGCGGGCGGGACGGACCAGGCAGAGGGCAGCGAGCGGTGGGAGGGCGGGCGGGCGGAGCAGAAGGCCGAGGTGGGGATGATGGCGGTGGGAGGGAGGCACAGGCCGAGGGAAGAGAGAGAGGCGAGGGCCGAGCCCTTGCCGCCGGTGATGGAGGCGGTGGTGGCCAAGGGGTGGGAGAGGGGGAGGAGGAGCGGGGGCGGGGGCGGGGGAGGGGGAGGGGAGGGGTTGTTGGGCATGGTGGCCGTGTCCGTGGGCGTGTCCGCCATGATGCCCGTGTCCGTCCCCTCCAGACCCATGCCCATGCCCATGCCCATGCCCATGCCCATGCCCATGCCCATGCCCATGCCCATGTCCGTGTCCGTGCCGTCCATGCCCATGCCCATGCCCATGCCCATGTCCGTGCCGTCCATACCCATACCCATGCCCATGCCCATGCCCGTGCCGTCCATGGAACACATGCTCGACTCGGCCTCGGCCTCGGCACGCCCATGACCACGACCACCATGCCCATGCCCCCCGTCCCCCCCATGCCCATGCTCTCCATGCCTTCCATGCCCTCCATGGGCGGACGGAGCGGGAGCAGAGCCGGCGGCGGCGGCGTCGGCGGAGGGAGGGAGCGGCAGATCAGGGAGGATGCCCATGGAGAAGGGCAGGGGCATGGGCGGGGGTGTATGGGCATGGGTATGGGCATGGGCATGGGCATGGGCACGGCGACCATGATCGCCATGATCGCCATGATCACCACCATGATCGCCATGATCGCCATGATCACCACCATGATCGCCATGATCCCCGCATGATCGCCATGATCGCCATGATCCCCGCATGATCGCCATGATCGCCATGATCGCCACCATGATCGCCACCACCATTATGAGCACCCCCACCATGGTCATCGCCGCCACCATGGTCATCATCGGCATCGGCTCGGCCGGCGAGAGAGCACCCGGCGAGATGGCCGAGGGCGCACATGGGCGTGATGTCGACCTTGGCATACGATGACAAAGGAAGAGGGAGCGGAGGGAGGATGTGCGCCTGCTCAACGTCTGCGTATCGCGTGAGCAGCTCGCGATGCCATGTGTGTGGATTGCTCCGCTGTCGCGTCGACCGATTGCCCATCTCTCCGTCAACAATACCGTCCGATCGATCGACCGAGTGAGCTGTGCCACCCACAGCTCGTCCCAGTCTTCCGCCGCAGCCGTTGCGCCGTGGGTCGGTTGCAGGATTTCCTTCTCAGCGGAACAATTTGCCGTTCACTCGGCCGCCAAACCTGTGATCAGCAAACGCGGAGGCCACGTCGGACTTGGTCGTCGACGCTGAGAGCCATCTTGGGCGATAACGGGGCTAGATGGCCAAGAGGCTAATGATCATGTAGAGAGGCTTGTGGACGCTATCTGGATGCAAGCTGGGTGCGGCAAAACGGCTCTGTTGACCACGGGAGGCTCTCAACCCGTCGCGCGTCCGGCGCACACTCGCAGCTGGCGAGGGATGAGGGGATGTGCTCGCACTGCAGCAGCAGTTTTTACCAAACCATATGCACGTGGAGTGCATGTGGACTCCCATTTACGGTGGGGTGAGGAGATCCACGACATCAACCGATCCGCGGCTGGCCCGTCGCCTCGCCTGCTGCGTCTGCCTCTCCTGCGCGAGCTGCGCGAGCTGCGCCGTGGTCATCTGCAGCGTCTGCATCGCGTCTATCGCCATCCTCGCCACCTCTTCCTCGTCCACCATCGCGTCCTCTTCGGACCTCGACTCTTCTTCTTCCTCCTCCTCCTCCTCCTCCTCCTCCTCTGCCGGCTCGCTGGACGACGAGTCCAGCAGCGGGCGGGCGTACGGGACCATGACCGTGACCGGCGTGCCGGGCTTCGCCGCGAGGCTGCAGAGGTTCCAGTCCGAGCTCTCGTCCCGGACGGCGGCCACAGCCGTGTCATCGACAACGACAACATCCATTGCCACGGGAGCCTCGTCCGCCTCGGACGTGCCGACCTCACGCTCGATGTAGTGGTAGAGCTCCGGGCGCATGTGCTCGTGGTACGGCTGCGAGAGGGGCTGGATGCCGAGGGCGTGGTTGAGCGCATGGACAATGCCGCAGATGCCCCCAACCAGGCCCGTGTTCGACGCCTGGGCGGCTGTGGCAGTGTTCAGGGTGGCAAAGTCGGTTTCGGCCTTGGCGGCGTCGACGACCGACTGTTGAGCAAAGAGCAAGCGGACAACGTCGATGTGTCCGCCGCGGGCGGCTGCGGTGATGGCGGCGTTGCCCGGCACCGCCGGATCGACATCGGCCGCCGCCACGCATGCCTCCACCACAGCCAGCTTTCCCTTGGCGGCAGCGGTGACAAGCGTCCGGTTGTCTGGCGAGGTGTAGTCGACCGCGTGCGGCGGCATCGCGATGATCTGGTCGACAAGATGGTCGGCGGCGGCGCCCATACGGAGCAAGTGGTACAGCAGGCCGCCGCGATTGGCGCAGGGATCAAAGCGCGGCGAGGCGGTGACAATGGCAAAGAGCCGCACGTCGTACTGGCGCACCGCCTGCCGCAGCACCGCGTGGTTGCCCGCCGCAGGATCCACCCGCTCGTCGGCCGCCAGCATCTCCACCACAGAGTACGCGCCGGCCTTGGCGCTCCGTCGCAGCGGCGCATTGTCGTCGACGCCCGGATCAACCTTGGCGTGGGCGAGGAGCAGCGCCAACGAGCCGAGGTACTCGCCCGCCGCCGCTGTCTTCACCGCCGCGTTGTTCGCCACTCCGGGATCGATGGCCGGATGCGCCAGGACCGCCGCCAGCATGACAGGCTTGGTCACCGCCGCCGCCATCAGCGCGCCCGACACCGCCGCCACATCCACCCGCCCGTCCTCCAGCAGCGCTACCACTGCAGGCGTCCGCCCGGCCCTCGCCGCACCCACCAGCGCCGCGCCGTCCTGCGTTGTCGGGTCGCACCGCCCGTCGGCGAGCAGCACCTTGAGCAGCGGCGTCCACCCGGCCCGTGCTGCCGTGATCACCGCCTCGGTGCCTATCGCGCCAGGCGCGCTCCCAGGCGCAGACAGCAGCAGCCGCACTACCTCTGCATGATTGCCCGCCAGCGCTGCAACTAGCGCCGCGTTGTCGCTGGCCGTCACGTCGATGCCCGGGATGCTGATGAGCTGCGCAACGAGGCGGTCCTCGCCGGCATCGGCTGCTAGCCGCAGCGCCAGCGCCGCCACCTCCAGGCTCGGTTTGACGCGTGGCGAGGCAAGAAGGAGCAGCGCCGTGTCGGCGTGGCCGCGGGCGACGGCCTTCCTCAGCGCAAAGTTGTCGATGGCCGCCGGATCGACGCCCGGTGCCCTCAGCAGCCGCTCCACCACCGCCGTGTATCCGCCACTCGCCGCAGCACGGATCGGGAGGTTTTGCCGCGCGCCGGCGTCCACCCGCCCGTCGTCGAGAAGGAGGCTGACGAGCTCGACAAGCCCGCGTTCGGCGCACGCGCACACCGCGTAGTTGTCGAGCGCGGCCGGCGACACATCACGCCGCGCAAGCAGCACCTTGAACAGCGCCACGCTCCATGTGTTGATGACCATCTTGAACGGCGCGTACCGGGCCATAGTCACGTCTATCCGCTCGTCGCGCAGGAGGACGCCGACCACGTCGAGGCGCCCACTCTCCACCGCAAGCTGGACGAGCTTGCTCGACGCCGGCCGTACGTCGCACGCTGGATGGCGCAGGAGATCAGCCAGCGCACCGAGCAGCGGCTTGCGGGACGAGGCAATCTGCTGCAGGATCGGGCCAGTGGTCGGATCAAACTGCGGGTGCGCGACGAGCGCCTGGCAGAGGGCATCGTCGCCGGCCTCGACCGCTACCGCCACCACCTTGGCCTGCAACGGCGCCAGGTCGAGGTCCGGCTCGGCGAGGAGGGCACGGGCGGCAGCGAGCTGCGAGACGCCCACCGCCACCGCCACCGCCAGCGCCTCGGTAGCCACTTGCGGCGAGTGAGGCCGGGCGAGGAGGGCGGTGAGGACGTCGGCGGCGCCAGCCTCGGCGGCAGCAAAGAAGGCGCGCATCTGTGCGCCCGGGATCTCGGCGTGTGACAGGAGGGCGATGAGGGCGCCCGGCTGGTTGGCACGGGCGGCGGCGAGACAGGCGTCGCGGAGGTCGATGTATCCAAGTTGGACGTCGGGGTGGCCAATTAGGATGCGCAGGATGGCGTCGCTGCCGTGCTTGACCGCGTGCGCGAGGATCGACTTGGCAAGGGAGAGGTCCGCCGACTCGTGGTAGAGAAGGAACTTGAAGACGGAGGCGGTCTTGTTGAGGGCAGCAGCGCTCCGGAGCGCGCGGCACTTGCTCGCTGCCACGTTGATCGCCTTGTGTGCCGCGAGGAGCTTGACAATTTCGAGATGACCACCCGCCGCCGCAGAGACGATGGCCTCGTTGTCCTTGGCGCTCGGATTCACGATGCGGAAGTGGAGTACCTGGCGGACGACGGCGGTGTGACCGGCTGCAGCGGCGGCGAGGTAGGCGCGGGTGAAGAGGGCGCGGTCAATGGGCCCGCGGGCGGTGGTGAGGAGCAGCGAGACGATGCTGGCGTGGCCGGCGCGGATGGCGGCGGCTGTCGCCGCCGCACCAAACCGCTCGACGCGGAACCGCGACTCGGAGACAAGGGCGTCGATGACCTTGGTGTGTCCGGCGCGGGCAATGTCGACAAGCACGCTGCCGTCGGCCCACTCGGCGTCGCCGGTTGCGTCGTCGAGCATGCGGCGGACGACCAAGACCGCGCCGGCCTTGGCCGCCAGCAGAAACACCCGCCTGGCGTTGTCGGTCGTGACCACCCGTGAGATCACCTTGGTGTTGTCGGCCACTGCCGCCGCCTCGGCCACCACATCGCGCTCTGCCTGCAGCAGGCCAGGCAGCAGATCAAGCACAAGACTAACCGCCGAGTCAGACTTGCGCACCGCCGCCACCGCCGCCAGTGGTACCGTTCGCCAGGCCAGGGTGGCGACGACCGGATCAAGCGTAAGACTCGCCGGCAGCAGAGCGGTAGGCGGGGCGACCTTTACGGACTTGCCGTACTCTGCCAGCATCCGCACCAGGGCCAGCCAGTGATCGCCCTCATGGCCAGTGCCAGCCTTTGCGATGAGAGCCAACGCCAGGCACGTGTGGCCAAGGATGGCATTGTCACCCAGGACGAGTGCCACGGCCGATGACGATGACGATGACGATGACGATGACGATGACGATGACGATGACAATGATGACGATGACGATGATAATGATGACGATGACGATGATGATGATGACGACGACCTTGTCGGGCGGTGGGCCATGGCAGTCAGCAGGGCGTGCGGCAGAGAGCTGATGAGGCGAGGATAGCCATGAAGGCGTGGGCGAAGACCTCTGCGAAAGGCATTGATGCGGGAGCGCTTCTCGAGAATGCGAAGGGCATGCCATTCGGCATGGAACATGAGAGAGATGGGCGACGCCAATGAAGCGAGGGCAATGGCACGTGGGAGCGGACGGGCAAGGAGACGATGATGGATGGTGGTAGAGACACAGCAGAGGTTGATGAACTCCTTCCCGCTCAGCACACCCATGTACGCCATGTACTGCAGCACCTCCACAGGTAGTCTCTCAAGCATATCCCCCCCCCCCCCCCTTCTCTCCCCCTCTCCCCTCCTCCCTCTTCCTGTTGCCCCGCTCTCTACAGAACACCCTCTCGCCTCGCTTCCCCCGCTGGCGACAAGTGTGCCTCACCGTGCCCGTCGAATGCCTCAGTCTCTGCCTGTGTGTGCCCTCGCTCTTGGGGAGTGTTCCGCTGTTTTTGGGCGGATTTCGGTCCCGGTTCGGGCGGCCGAAAAAAGGTCGTGGTTTGGCTCGCCTGGCTTGGGCGGCCTATAATAGGTCGTGGTTTGGCTCGCCTGGCTTGGGCGGCCGACAAAGGTCGTGGTTTGGCTCGCCTGGCTCGGGCGGCCTATAATAGGTCGTGGTTTGGCTCGCCTGGCTTGGGCGGCCGACAAAGGTCGTGGTTTGGCTCGCCTGGCTTGGGCGGCCTATAATAGGTCGTGGTTTGGCTCGCCTGGCTTGGGCGGCCGACAAAGGTCGTGGTTTGGCTCGCCTGGCTTGGGCGGCCGAAAAAAGGTCGTGGTTTGGCTCGCCTGGCTTGGGCGGCCTATAATAGGTCGTGGTTTGGCTCGCCTGGCTTGGGCGGCCGACAAAGGTCGTGGTTTGGCTCGCCTGGCTTGGGCGGCCTATAATAGGTCGTGGTTTGGCTCGCCTGGCTTGGGCGGCCTATAATAGGTCGTGGTTTGGCTCGCCTGGCTCGGGCGGCCTATAATAGGTCGTGGTTTGGCTCGCCTGGCTTGGGCGGCCTATAATAGGTCGTGGTTTGGCTCGCCTGGCTCGGGCGGCCTATAATAGGTCGTGGTTTGGCTTGCTTGGCTTGGGCGGCCTATAATAGGTCGTGGTTTGGCTTGCTTGGCTCGGGCGGCCTATAATAGGTCGTGGTTTGGCTTGCTTGGCTTGGGCGTCCGACAAAGGTCGTGGTTTGGCTCGCCTGGCTCGGGCGGCCTATAATAGGTCGTGGTTTGGCTCGCCTGGCTCGGGCGGCCTATAATAGGTCGTGGTTTGGCTTGCTTGGCTTGGGCGGCCTATAATAGGTCGTGGTTTGGCTTGCTTGGCTCGGGCGGCCTATAATAGGTCGTGGTTTGGCTTGCTTGGCTTGGGCGTCCGACAAAGGTCGTGGTTTGGCTCGCCTGGCTCGGGCGGCCTATAATAGGTCGTGGTTTGGCTCGCCTGGCTCGGGCGGCCTATAATAGGTCGTGGTTTGGCTTGCTTGGCTTGGGCGGCCGACAAAGGTCGTGGTTTGGCTCGCCTGGCTTGGACATCTCGAGCCGTCAAGCGAGCGGGGCGATCGGCTGGTTGGGAGCTGGAGATGGCCGAGCGCACTTGGTGCAGGCACTGTGAGATGCCCGATCTGTCCTTGAGCTCGGCTGATCGATGGGGATCATGGTCGATGTCGAAGCTGGCGTCCCGCGTGAGGATGGATGAGGTCGAGCGCCATGCGGCTTGAGCCTGTGGTCTGTGTCGGCAATCACTAGAACCGATGCGATGACGATAGGTACTACATGTTGTGTGACTTTCACATCTGCTGGACGTGTGCCTGTATGAAGGACGGCATGTTGTGGGAAAGTGCGGATGCTGTGCGGCGGGCGTGGGCAGGGGGGGTCTCTGTGATGATGCTGATTGCGATCGGGGCGATGGCCGCGGTGGAGCGCCGATGAGCCTTGCGGCGATGGTTACGACATGACGTGAGGGGGTAAATGGTCATCGGACGGTTGGTACTGGGGATGTGGGCCACGGACTGAGTACATAGTTGTGACGAGCGCTGCGATGCGAGTGCGTCATGGGGCGTGGCCACGACTGAGGTGTATGCGTGGATGGCTTTATCGACTGGCCAGTTGCTGGACAGCAGGCTCGTGACCAGCAAGCAGGTGATGGGATGGGAGAGGATGGATATCTGCATCATCCGTCAGTCTGTCCGATGAGTGTGTGTCGATGCTTGGATGGAATGGGAAGGTGGAGGGAGCGGAGCAGTGATCACCAAATTCTTTCGGCGACGGACGATTCAGAGCTACGACACCGACTACCACACAACACACACTGCTTCTACACGGATCTCCGCCAAGTCGACAATCCGTTTATCGGTCCCCATTCCGTACCCATGGCGGCAAGGTAAGGCATGTTAGCGTAGCAAGCAGAGCTGGATGCTTTTACGCGATCGAGGCCCGGTAGGAGGGCGTCCTTCAGGTGTGCGCAGACGAGAGTTGGCACAACGCCCACATCCCCAGCAGCCCTTCCGACGAGGATGCTATCAAGTTTGCCGAGGCCATCGTCTCCTTCACACACTATCCGAGTGTGGCCAACGCGTGCACTTCTGTGGTTGTCATTGTCTGCGAAGCCAGTGGCGATCCCATGCCGCTGCCAGCTGGTGCCAAGGTTGCCATCGGGCTTGACTCGCCACGCACCTCGTCCAAACTGGATTGTGCCCTGTTGCCGATGGTGGCACGCGGCGACGAGCCTGCGATGGTCCTGGACTACTTGTGTCGGCCAAGCTGGAGAAGCTTATGGATGGCGAGAACATCATGGTCAGTAGCTACAACGAGTTCAAGTCCTGTATCATCTACACAAGCAGCCGCCGCGGGGTCGACTTGAATCAGGGGCGCTTGATTGTAGTGGTCGGCCAGGACAAGATAACAGTGCGGCTCCTGCAGGCGCTGTACGCGGCGTCGGATGTGGCAGTCTCGGACACAGCCAAGTACTCGGTCGAGGGGCTCGGGATGCTGCGCGGGCAAAGCAGCCCGAGCGAGCTCGTGTACATTAATGCAAATGGTAATGACTGTATGCTGTGTCTCCCAGCCCGCCACATCCACTACCACGAGTCCGCCTACGCCCGCAGGCCCACTGTTGCCGAGGAGTGGATCGTGCCCGCCAAGTTTGTCGAGGAGGACCAGTCGTCGGGCAAGGCGTCTCGCGCCGGGGGTGAGCTGATGCGCCGCTTCAAGGGCCACGCAGAGCTCGAGAAGGCGCGATCGGGCACGTTTTGGTGGCTCTGGTCAAACAAGAAGCACCTTTGGGCGTATCCTCTCGAAGTTGTTGACAGGGGTGACGTGTCCTCGTTCTGGGCCGTCCTCGGGCGCGAGTGTCCGGAGGCTGTGCCGGTGGACGACGATGCCAATGACGACAACAGCTGCGTCAAGGGCAATGCGACAAGCTTGGTTCAGTTCCCGGCATCGACAGTTTGCGGCGCCGCCATCGACCAAGCGGTGGCCATGGGCGCAAGCACTTGCGGATGCACGGGGTCCGCAAGCGGGTTCATGACACGGTGGCTGTCTTGGGCATGCCCGCCAGCTACGAGTGGCTGAACGCGGTCATTGCCACGGCCATCCCGTCGAACAAGAACGACACACCGTTTAAGCGGCTGGGATTTATCAGCGACACGGTGCTCACCCTTATGGGTTGGATGCAGCTGTTCTCACTCGAGGACAGCGCCATGGACGTGGGTCCGATGACGAGCGCCATGCAGGACATGGAGTCACGGGAAGCGTGTCAACAGTATCTCAAGGCCACTGGCATGGATGATGTTGTGCTTTCGGACTCTTACGATGTACAAGCCGAGGCCATCTTGTGTGCCATCTACCTGCTGTATGGCCTCGACGACACCGAGCGCGTCTGGCGTATGTTCGTGTCGGCAGTGGCCTTGGTAGACGATGCGGCGCCGAGCGGCTCAAGCACTTCAGCGCTGAGAAGTGGCAAGCAGGAGAGGCAGCAGACCGTGTCGACTCGTTCGATGGAATCCGTGGCGGCCTGGCAGGGAGCCGAGCTCGGAGTTCCAGACTCTGATGTCAGCCGGCACCATCGGAGAGGTGATCAACTGCTGCACCCAGCCTTACCCCCCCGACTCGATCGACCGCTCCCGTTCTTGACAGCCCCAACTGCGACCCCCCTCCGACCCGATCTACAGCCGACCAAGTCGCACGGGGCGGTTGGGCTCGGTGCAGTGGCTACGCACTTGCGAGTCAGCGCGGTGACCAAATCGAGGCGATCTGGGCCGAGCAGCTGCCGCCAAGGCGAGCCTCGACGAGGACGCAGCGATCGGCAGACGCGGATGAGATGGACGAGGCCACGGCGGGCGTGGTGTTGGTACAGAGCGTCGATGTGCCCGGGTGGTTGGCGCATGATCGGAGAATGAGCCCGTTGCTGGGTTTGACGGCGCTGTTGACGGCGAGCGTGAGCGCCGCGGGCGCAGCGGATGAGGTTGTCGCGGGCGATGTGGCGGCTGATGACGACTTTGGTGAGTGAAGCCGATGGCGACGACGTCAGAGTTGGTCTTCTGCGAGGCACGGCGGACGGATGGACACGATTGTCGGCAAGGGGGAGAGCGACGATGCTGGCGTGATCGTGCGGTCTCGACACTCCTGCTGCGATGCCGTCGCAGCTCGGTGACTGCGCCTGCCTTTTTGATTGTTAGTATTGTTAGAGCCTTCATCCAACGGA